CATAATATGTGACTGTAAGTACTTGGGGGCTCTGTGACCCTGGGAATAAATTTTCCCGGATGAGATGGAACTGCTTGGGGAAGGGAAACCCTGAAAAGGTCTGTGGCTCCCTGCAACTTCCTCTGACAATCCTTCCTCACCCTTTCCACCTTCTTCTGACAATCACTGACCCAAACCCATTACTTCTTGAGTAAATTCATGTTAAGAGCACAAGTAAAACTCTCTGGTATACGATGATACAATTTTGGATTATGACTGCACACACAAAGCTCCATCACTTACGGGGCCACCACGAGGACCTGTTGGGCCAGGAGGTCCGGCTGAACCGGGCTCTCCCTGAAAGAAAAGATGAAAAATGTTTGCTTCATAATATGGCTGTTTATAAAATAAGAACAAGTAACTCTTATATCAGCAGCAGCAGCAGCAGCAGCAGCAACAACAACAATTTCTCAATTTAGAGTAAGCCAATACCTTATCACCAGATTGGCCAGCTGGACCAGGGGGTCCGATGGATCCTACGGGACCCTGCAAGGATAGAAACAAAGACATAGCAATTGTTATCAATAGAAGGTGTGGACATTTGTCAATTACGACAACACCAAGAATCTAGAATCCAAAAGTGATGCAAATTATTTCATTGGTAATTTGATGGATTATTTTCCAGTATCTTGATGTTACCAATGTAACATCAATGTAAGCCGCCCGTTCGTGGGGAGGGTGGGATAAAAATGCAATAAATAAATAAATAGATGACTTGATTTGATTGATTGATTGATTCAATTTAAAGCCCTCCTTCCCCTGTGTCCAGGCTCGGGGCGGGTAACATCACTGATAAAACATATTAACAGTCTAATACATTAATAAGTCCAAAATACAATAAATACAGTAAATATAATAAAATACTTATAACAAAATACAGTCCAACGGTACAGTCAAAAGGTGGCGTAAAATCCTCAGGGTGGTGGTGGTGATTTATAATCTGTCTGACATGATGGGAAAAGGGGAGGGGAAGGGAAGAGGAGGTGGCCGATCAGAGACGGAAACCCAGCACTGCCCTCAACCATAAGCCTGGCGGAGCAACTCTGTTTTGCAGGCTCTGTGGAATTGCATTAAATCCCGCATGGCCAGGATCTCACCCGGAAGAGTAGGTTCCCCCCCCCTTGTGCTGAGTGACACTGGCAAAGACAGGTATAGACTGACTTTACCTGCTAACACTCAGAGAACATCATAGTCACATGGATCTAGGTGGGAATCACTAATATACAAAGAAGGGGAAAGAGAATTCAACCCAACTAAGCCGGTCTGGTAAGAAAAAGGCTGAGGCAGAGAGATAACGACACAGTGAGGCCGGGTATTTCTTTATTTGCTTTATTTATATCCTGATTTTATCCCCAACGGGGACCCAAAGGGTCTTACATCGCTCGCCTCTCCTCTCTTTTATCCTCACAGCAACCCTGAGAGGTGTCAGTTCGAGAGCGTGGGACTGGCCCGAGGTCACCCAGTGAGGTTCCGCGGGACAAGTGGGGATTCGAACCCGGGCTTACCAGATCCTAGTCTGACATTCTCAACCACTATGCCACACTGGCGCTACTCCTTGGATATACATTTAATAGATGACAAGAGAAATACCATTATGAATGAAATAAAATATAACATCAGAACCTCCCTAACCAGTTAAGATAGCAGCACACTACTTATTCACCTGATCGGCATGCTATGCACGCTTATATGGTCATTTCGTACGATCGAGCTTAGTTCTCTTGGGGGGAAAAACACACTGATGAAAGCGGCTGCTTGCCAGAATGCATTTGGTGGTCCGTAGTATAACGGTCTAGTGCGCTGCTATGAACCCATTCAGTGGAAGTGATGAGCTCTACTCACCCTTCCGCCATCTTTACCAGGCATGCCATCACCCCCTCTGGAACCAGGCTCTCCCTGTTGAACAGAAGACAGTTGTGTTAGCATAGCACAAAAAGGAGGAGGGTATTGCTGCAACATACACAAGAGCACAAGAGAAGCCACATTGGATAAAGACAATGGCCCATTGAGTCCAACACTCTATGTCACACAATGGCCAAATCCCAGGGGCCATCAGGAGGTCCACCAGCATGGCCAGAACTCCAGAAGCCCTCCCACTGTGGCCCCCCAAGAACCAAAAAGACAGAGCAACAATGCCCCAGACATAAGAACATAAGCGAAGCCATGTTGAATCAGGCCAATGGCCCATCCAGTCCAACACTCTGTGTCATACAGTGGCCAAAACCCAGGTGCCATCAGGAGGTCACCCATAAGACATCCCACTATTGCCTCAGCACCAAGAATACAGAGCATCACTGCCCCAGACAGAGTGTTCCACCTATACCTTGTGGCTAATAGCCACTAGCTAACTTCTTATTAACAATAAAGCATCTGCATGTTAACCTAATTCAGCTGTCCCACCAGGGCTGGTTGCCTCCCCCCTTAAAGAGGGAAATTTGCAAGGGCATATAGTATTAGGCACATGGAACACTTCAGATGGGCCAGTATCAACTGAGGAGGCAACCTAGAGTCAAGGAAAGGGAGAAGGGAACGCCAGCTGTCGTTTAAAAAAAGTGATGCATTCACGAACAGTACTGAGGGTAGACTGGGGCTAGGGTTGGCCACCTTACGGTGGGGCCTCGAGATCACCTGGACCTAAGGGACCGCCTTTCTCCATATGTT